CAGACACCTAGCATGTAATTATACCAAACCAACAGACATAATCAGCTGTTAACATAATTGGATTTGGAAGAATAAAGTTGTGATTATGTTAAAAACTATTGACGCTATATGGGCTATCTTTTAAGTATAAGGATTGATTGTACTGCTCAAATGCAACAATTTTCCTCAAGAGAAAGAGGTTCGTATTTTGATAAAAAAAATCCATACAAATTATCATCATCTATAATTATTATCAGCTAATTATAGTAATATTTTTTAAGAATTTCTGTATTTTTTCTGTATGAAAGTTTTTGCATTTGAGCAGTAGAATCAATATTTTTTGTGTGATCCATACTTAAAAAGACACTCCGTACGTAAACACTATTCCTTGGTTCACCTAATAAATGCTTTTGCCTATCTTTTCTTACAACATCAACCTCAATATCAACTAATTCACCTCAACGTTCCCACAAAACCCGACTGTCAGATGCAATAAAAAACAAATGTGTCGACGAAATTCAGTGGCCTTTCCGAGGCAGTCCTATTGATTTATCTTTTGACTTGGAGCCAAAAGTGTAATGACCAAACTTAATATAGGCTTCCTTAGATTGAATCTGGTGTTTTCATAAAGGACTTGACACACTAGATGCGGTCTGCGATCTGCGGTCACGTCAAAATGAACGCAGACCGCATTGTGTATGAACAACATTGTCAATCAGGGCGACGGTTTGCGGTTCGGGCCCGACAAATTCAGCGGTGCGTGGTTTGTGTTCTTTGTACGTGCCCGTACAGTCAGATGGCCACAAAGGGGACCGACGACCTCATAAGGTAGCAGGAAGGCGCTGGATGCAGGCCGCTACCGGCCGGCCTTTGTGGAAATCATTGGGGGAGGCCTATGTTCAGCAGTGGACGTCCTATAGCTGAAATGATGGTGATGATCAATACAAAAAGTATAAAGACCGAGAATTTTGTTCAAGATTAAGCGAGCTGCGTTCACTTTGACCTGACCGCAGATCGCATCCAGTGTGGCAAGTCCTTAAGACGTACGGCTAGAATTCTCAAGTTTTAACCCAACTAAGAACTTCTTAACAGTTGAATGCTCTAAGCGAAAATGGGGATTTTAAGTCGTTACGAACAAAAAATGAGAGAAATTAAAATTGCTTCCATTTACAGTGTTCTTTGTAGATTCTTTGGGCTGATGTATTGTTTCGTAGAATGGGGTGGAATGAGATTTGGCTAGCTTTGTAAGTATTGTAGTGTAGACTTTAGATGGTTAAATGTGTGTTTGTAACTTAGGCTGAGTTGCTCCACCTAACTTTGACCGTAACTTTATAGTTACGGTTCGTTATCGTTATCGATAACCCGTGTTTTTGTATGGAGTTTGACAGGTTTTTGACGTTTGTCAAAGTTAAAGTAAGATGGTGCAACCCAGCCTTAATGCTTAAAACCTCTGATATCCTTTGAAATTTGAATTATTATACAATGTGATAGGATGTAGTTTTATTTCAAGGTAGGAAGTTTGTTGAAAAATTGAATTCTGATTTATTAATAGATACTGTTTACCAAGTAGGCACTACCTCATTGCTTAAAATGCATTGTTTGCTTAAAATCATACTGGATAATTAATGTCAGAAATAACATTACAGATAAACGGAACAAAAATAATAATTAGTGGAAAAATAATAATACGGCTTCGACTACGACATTAATAAAATTGTAAAAAAAACTCTTTATCTGCTTACATACTGTCAAGCCTACTGCAAAAACATCAATGCCTAAAAATGTAACAAAACGCAACCAAGCACTCCCACAAATCAGCCCGCCATATAAAAACGCCGTAACTCTTCCCATTGTATCCAAACGAATGCATAAACCCCACAAAATAAACCTTGATTCAAAACAAAGTGACGTAACCCTCCCCATCTTAACTGGGCGATCTCATTCTTGTATCAGTCGCGGTTAACTTCCTACTAAACTCGTCTGCTTGTCGCGATAATACAGAATAATAGCCTCCCCAGAATGAGGATGGCCTCGAAGAAGGACTTTATATATCCTAATAGAAGGACCTTTATACAGGGTGGAGTTTTGTAATGCCACCTGGAGGGAAAGTACTCTTATTACTGTAGATAGAAAGTTTTACTGAAAGAAAACATTCCTTTATTTTTGAAAAGAAAGAGAACTGCATTCAAAGATTTTCGATTTTTTTTCGAAAATTCACTACCATACCACGGTAATAATATCATACAGTATTGTAACTTCATATAAACAGCCGAAACGAGAACTTTCTTTCGAAATTCAAATCTCGGTATGCGCTCGGTATGCAAAAGTCGGGGGTGTCGCGAATGTGCCGAAAGGACGTCGGTGGCCAAGTGTTAAATTAAAATTGACAAAACTGATTGAATTTGACTGACCGTCATTTACGGTCAAATTGGTCAAAAACTAGTCAAATTGTCATTTTCAGTTAGTTTGATTTGAAATAAAAATTATATTGTATTAAACCAGCTTTTGCCCACGACTTCGCCCGCCCGAAATTAAAGTAACAGATCATTATGATTATTAAAGTTTCGAAATTATTTAAGTAGTTTTTACTAAATTAAATCTAATGGCTGGTTCACACGTCATGTCTGTGAACAGGCGCTGCCTTCGGGGACTGGTCAAGGAAAGATATACCTGACATAAAATATATACAGGGTGGAAACGTTAAGTGATCTCATTCGATTATTTCTAAACTATACAAGATATCGGAAAACTGGTTACTGATCTTGAAAGTGCTTCACGAGCTCTATCCAACGGTACCAATAATAGGTTACAGAATTAACTGGATCTATCCGAAAGTTAAGTGTTTTGAGCCTCCATATTAAATGTATGCCAGCCAAACAATATTAGAAGTATTATTTTTTTTATTAAATAATAAACACTTAAAATGAACTCATAAATTGCATTCCTATTTAAAATCATTCATGGAAAACATTGGTTTTAGGCTTTACTTGCTATAATTTATCAAGACTTGAGTGCCATGACTGTGGCTGTACTAAATGTATGGAAGCTGGAAACATTGAATTTTCGGATGGATCCAGTTTATTTTGTAACCTATTATTGGTATCGTTGGATAGAGCTCGTGAAGCACTTTCAGGATCAGTAACCAGTTTTTTAATATCTTGTAAAGTTTTTAATATTTTGTAGTTTTACTAAATGTATGGAAGCTGGAAACATTGAATTTTCGGATAGATCCAGTTTATTATTTAACCTATTATTGGTACCGTTTGAAAGAGCTTGTGAAGCACTTTCAGAATCAATAATCAGTTTTTCGATATCTTGTATAGTTTAGAAATAATCGCGTGAGATCACTTAACGTTTCCACCCTGTATGTATCAAAACGCAACAATTAACCTAGAAATTAGCACGAACTGTATATTCAAAACTGCCACGCGGTCTCGTGCTAGATGGGCGTCTTAAAGGCCACCTTCTATCAACGGGAGCGCGTGGTAAGTAACTTGCTTCTGAATGTATTGTAACTTCCTACTTTTTTATATTTTTATACCGGCAGACAGTGGTGACTGAGTTTGTTGCGGCGCTTCTTCTCAGCACTTGCCAAATGTTTGTCTCGAAGCGCTGGTAGGACAAAAAAGAATGAGACATGTATAGGCTCCTTAAGAGCATTTGACGATTTGCAAGTACTAATTTAATTAGTCTAAACAAATAAAGAAAATTTTGATTTTGATTTCACTAATCACAAAACAACACACATTTTAACCTATTCCATTCACAAAGTATTTTGTTTGTCTAACTAAATAAAAAATACAATAAAAAAACTAGATAAAAATTCTAAGTAGGCAGATGTAATTAAACTGGTTACTGTAGGTGGGAAGCCCTATCGCATGTTGTCATACTGTGACGTACCGCGCGACTGTTGACATTTATTTCAAAAATATGGCCGAGTTGGAATACTGTATAGATAGTATTACCGTGACCATACCATACAATTTTCTGTCACATTATTAAAATAATTTAAGATTTCATGGTTTTCCTTTAATTTGATTTATCAAGTTTGTTAGAGAGATTTCATCCTTATGCTTAACCCTAACGATCGATGTATTTTAATACAGTTCTATTCCCAGGTGTGGCAAACAAATTTTAGGAATTCTTTGAATGCAGTTCTATTTCTTTTCAAAAATAAAGGAATGTTTTCTTTGAGATTTTTTTTCTATCCACAATATTAAGACTTCTTTCCCTCCAGGTGGCATTAAAAAATTTCACCCTGTATGTGCAAAGAGAGGTCAAATTCATTGAGAGGAACGGCGCAAGTTGTGACGGGCAGACTTAAATTGATTCCGCGGTAAACAGTGTTGGAGTGAGATTTATACGGGGTTTTCGTCGCTGATTGGGAAATGTGGGGCTTTAAAGAAAGAGACGAAAAGTCTGATTAGAGTTGGCCACTTGTTTTTGGTGAACTTAAAACTTGAGTAGGGGAGATCGAGGAAAGTTGTAACAGAGGAGAGTTGAGACATTGACGATTTTTTGGAACTTATTAACTACTAGCGAGCTCGTAACAGTGCGCGCTTTTCAGTTCAAGTCTCGAGCTAATAAATACGCGCTGTTGAGAGCTCGCTAATAAGTTAATAGGTTTCCAAAAATGGACAATCTCGCAACTCTCCTCAGTCTCCCCTAAGCTTTAATTTACTCGAAGTGACAATTTTAGCCTAGGATTTTCCTATCCTACTAAATATTCGCTTATAATTATTATAAAGATTTTGTTGATTGATGGAGAGAATACAAACATTTATCATTAATTTTTTCCAATTTTAGATATTTTCCAATACACAGAGACCCTTGGAAATTTTAATCTTACCAAACAGTTGGTGTTAAACCATTTATTTTGTCAAGGAAAAATCCTATGCTTGAAGTACCAAATACCAAAGGAAATTTCTTCTTGCATCATGATGCACAATTTTACGAACATAGCTGCTATTTTTGCATTTTCTTATTGCTAGTAGAGAAAAATAAATATAAAATGGACTTACTTATTGTAAAGCACGATGTCTGGCAGCCAAATGTGTTCTGAGGGTACGTGCAGCGTCTCCACACCACCGTAGTCGTCTGGGTTCCACTTCAGCTTGTAGTCATTCCATTCCTGTAACAAATAATAACTATCATAGTATATTAATTATCACACATCTCAAGAAATAGACATCATTTGCCATATCTTAGATCTCGTTTCATCCACAAACACGCGCCCCACCAATTTTTGGTCGAGGGAAGCGCGAGGTGCGGGGAGTTTGATCCCAGCAATCCGAGCGTCATTATTGTAGTGTGTGTGTGCACTCATGGACAATTTAACGTGTACCAAACATTTAAACATTAGCGGAAGAATGGTGGGGCGCGTCTTTGTGGATGAAACGATCTTTAAATAAGTACGTTAATATCTTTAACTTAGCCTAATTCAGTAACACATTGTTGGATCCTCCTATTGAGCAACAGATTGTGCTTATGCTAGGAAGCAGCGCTCTTCCATATGATAGCAAGATTAATAGTTAGATAGGCAAAATCCTATAAATATCCTTATTTAAGTCTCGCCGCTGCCTTGATAGTTATTTAATTAAAATTGTGCATCGTGACCTGAATTAACTTCAAATAAAATGCGCTCGTAAATAATGACAACATTTAACACGTAACTGCTTACCATGAGCTTACGTTAGGTGTGCTCGCTAGCGACTGCGTAAAAAATGACATTAAATGTATGACAAATTGTAATAGCGGCTAATTACAAGAACTAAATCCTCATAGATTTTTTGACGCACTCGCTAGCGAACACACCTAACGTAAACTCTTGATAAGCACATGGGTCTCATTATACGATATGACTTAGTTTCTCGAATACAACTATCACTAGATCTGCTCCTTTTGCTTGCTCGCAATCGACTAATTAATAGTTATCAAGTTCAACACAGTCTGAGTCTCACTGTACCAGAAGTCTTAAAGGCTTAGAAGGGTAGCGCATTTTCTTACATAACTTTTCAATTCCTATCATTGGAGGTCCGAAAATATTTCTCATACAATTTGATATCATAATGATCATTCTTCATAAAAAATTTAAAACCTACATATTTAAAATCATAATCATTGATATTCATAATATCACTAATCATACACTTCGTTTTTACTAATATTTGTTTTCATATATTTTTCTATACTAATGATCGAAACTCATAATCATTCGAATAAATAACTATAATATTCATAAATGTGATGTATCCTAATATTTGTTTTCATAAATTTATTACTCATAAGTGTATTTATCCATATTATTGAAAATCATGATGTCAATATTCGTATTAAATCGTATTTTAACATTAAATTAATTTGAAATGGTCCAAAACAGGCAATATTTTGTGCCACAAAACTAACGTGACAGAAACGAATCGCTGCAAAACCGACTCCACGTAGTCTTGTCTGCCCTACCCCTAGAGTGTAATTTAAAAGCCGGAGGCGCGGAGGGAGGGCAGCCCTCGCCCGCTGTAACGAAAAAAATGGCTACTGGTTAACATCGCGCGTTAACTTGGAGCTAAAAATGGGTCAAAGTTACGCGTCGTGTCACAACGCTTATAATAAAAATGTACGAGCACTTGCACAAAATAGTTGTTACAACCAACCTTGTGTTGGGTCTAATTCTCGTCACTACACTGCACAACTTAAAATAATTACGTTTTTTGTCGGTAAAAACGTCCTGGTGACGTCACTTAAGCATTTTTCTTATACTGCGTGCGGTCGTTGCGCGTGCGCACAAAGGAATGAGACCGCTCGGACACCGAGCCCACAGCGTGGTAGGGGTGGGGTTGCCCGCTCTTTTGTTTTTTACTACTACTGCGCTGAATATTGTGTGCGGATTGGGTTGTCGTACAGGGGTACTACATGGTAAATTAAATCTCGGAGGCGAAAGCAGGATAATTTTCTATTGATTCATAATAAAAGTCATAGGTTCTGATTTATCATTAAACTCAGTTTTAATAACTAAAGTTACTCTCGCAGAATTCACACGAGCCAACATTTCGGTTCGGTACGACGGTATCAGTTGCTATCGGCAAAAAACACGCGTATTTTATATTTCTGATCACGACTTAATCGTAAATATGAAGGGTTGAGCGCACCTTATGTTCGCTATTGCAAAAAGAGCGGTGCGCACTCTCCATAAAATATATCTGGGCCCTGCGATATTTGCTTATTCTGCAAAACGAACTGGCGGGTGTACCTGTCTACACGCGGAGTTCGGTCACAGAAGGAGATGCGAACTTGACTGTCCATTAAGAATCCGACTTCACGTCGATATTCTAAGCTAAAACGCCATAGTGGTGAACAGTTAGTACCTTTTACGCCTAGGGCTCGTACTAGTGACCATCAGCACAAAAAATAAAATCTCTACCTGGTCCTTAAATAAGTTAACAGACCTTCTAATCAGCAAACCAGCTAAATTACTATAAGTTTCATGCCATTACATACACGTGTCAAGTCTTATGAAAATACTTCTGTCATTATAATTTTTGGAACCTGAAACGACTTATCAAACAATCGATTTTCTAATCGGAAACTTTTTGGACACTCGCCGTCGATTCGACAAAATATCGAGTAGGTATTTCAGTTTCTTCTCGCCAGAATACGTCCGTAGTACCATATTACATATTTATGTATGTGGGAGCCAGTTCTTCGCATATGTTTCTCGCTGTTTTATTTCAGCGAATAAAATGCGTCTCCACGAGTTTTTTTTCTGTGTTTTTTATATAATAATCCGGCATGTGAGGTTCATTCTGTGAGATGTGAAAAGTATTGTAAGAGGGTTGTCCAATTTCACAGTTGAAGTACGAAGAAGTACGTGATGGGAGTGATGAAGAGATAGTGCTTGCTTTGTGTTTCTAGTAACGTGTGAACTAGTAAATAATACATTTGTATTATCATTCAAATATACAGCGTGGTTAAAGCTAGAATAATATTTGAGAATATGAGATAGAACAAACATATTTATCTTCGAACAACTCTCTACATAAATTAGTTCGAAGACATCGATGAAAATGTGTTTGGAATAAATAAAATGAGTCTGAGTTGTTAAGGACAAAATATAGGTGTTGGTTCCTACCACCACCTATATTTTCCTATCCGCCTGAATTCCTTACCGGCTGAAGGATGAAGATCAATAAACAAAGCCGCAGTAATCAACTAGCTTGCAGTCGCCTGTTTTAAAAACTGAAACTACAGCGTGAACAGTAAAACGATAACCCAGATATCCGAATGATAAGTACTCCTAATGCAATTTGCCTTCAGCCTCATCATCTCCGGGACCCAAACTTTTTCCCAACCATATGTTTGGCTAAAATTCAAAGGCAAGGGCGACAACAATCTCCAATTAAGGCGCGGCATCGCGGCGCGATAAATCCGCACAATGCCGGCCCCTTAACTTTCGTCCGCGAGTAACGAGTTTTTAACTTTGTGGCAAAGCGAAAAATGTCTCTATCTCCTTTACGCACTTGCGCAAGGCATGGGCGGGAGCGGGAAGAATTTATGCACGATTAAGTAAACTGCTTACAGTAGGCAAAGATTTGACAGATCCATAGGAAGACAATGAATTCAATACACTTTATTTACGACTAATCCTACTTATATTATAAATGCAAATGTTTGTGTTGATGTATGTTTGTTACTCTTTCACACCAAAAGTACTGAACGGATTTTGATGAAACTTTACTGTATTATTGTTTATACATCATAATTACATACAGATAGGCTTTAACTTATAATGATCTGTGACAAATTCAATATCACGCGGGCAAAGCTGTGGGCAAAAGCTAGTATGATATAAGGATCAAACGAAGTTGTTGGAGAAAATTTCGTCTTAAATTTTTAATGTTAGGTTGGTTAGGGTTTACCCGATAAGTAAGACAGTTGGAATAAATAAACGCAACTGGTATTGTATACTACACACTAGGATACGACACTCAAGATTCGGATAATCATGATAAAGATTGTACAAAAACCAATTTTGATTATCACTTGAACCACAGTTTAAGGGTATTCCGAGGAAATTACAGAAGGAAAACGGCCCTACTTTCAATAAAACTGTCGTCTTTATTTAACAGGGTAAAAGTTATCTCCCTCCACGAGTCCAAAAAAGGCACAGGTCATGCGCAGACCTTTGTCTGGTTCACTTCTGACGTAAATTAAATGGCGCTGTGTTGCAGTGTAGCTAATAACAAAGGTAGCTAACTCAGGTATTAGTGAAAAAATCAATTTTATTTCCTTTATCTGATAATGTAGTAGGTAGTTATTGTTCAGGTTAAAGTTTAATAGTTTTAGAAATGAAATTTGAAACTTGCTGTTGTTAAATTAATATCAAAATCAAACATTCTCACACATTTAAAGAATTCAAAAAACGTTTCATAATATTTATAGACGAGAATAACAAATCTATATAAACCATTGAAATCGATAACCTACAACTGCTGCAGCTACATACTCGTGTGTAGGTATTTCGAAACAAAACACATTCACCTATTTAGGCCAAAAAAGGCACCCGATGTTTACCCAGAAAATGTAGAGTAATGAAAAGTAAAATTTTAACCATCTGGCCCGCGATGCTCGAGATAAATTCCGACCGTAACAATAAAAACTTTTCGGCCCTCTCACCTCCTTAAATCGGCTTGTACTGTTGCCGCTGTTTTGCCAAATATTTTAAACCACAGCCTTGTTCGCAGTCTTGGCCAATTAAGATTCAGTATTGTGTTCTTATTAATTTGATTTTATTTATTACCTTTTAAATACGCCCGGGAGTTTGTTTAATATAAATATAGTAGACCTGTAGCCTTTTTTACGTAACAAAACTTCAACGACAACAAATCGCTGCGTTGCGATCTTATCGAGTAATCGTTCTATCGAAATGACCCTTGTGCATACGGATTTAGAAGTTTTCAATAGGACGACTTTCAAACGTCAACGAGATTTTGACTGTGACAAAATACGTGAATTAGGCCACAGGAAGAGTGATGCGTTTAAGAAATATTTTACCTGTGTATGTCGTCTGCAGTGGGTATAAAGATAGCCAGTTCCTCAGTAGTTGAGGATACCAGATGAAACTCACTTCCACCTTTG